TCATGCTTGGGAGGGTGGAGGGACGGCGCAGGAGAGGAAGGCCCTCTGTGAGGTGGATTGATTCAGTGACTGGGATAATTGGGATGGGAGTGTCAGAGACCGCACGATTGGCACAGGACAGAGCAGAGTTTAGGGCTGTTGTACATAGAGTCGCTATGAGTCGCAGGCAACTCGACGGCACATAACAACAACAACAACATAGCCCAGATCAAGTACACCTTAGTCTCCAGTCTGATGTTGTTGCTCTTCTGTAATCTGGAGACGTCCCTGACAGCTGACTTTCCCAATGCAATTCATCTCTTGATTTCCTGGCTGCTGATACCAAGAGTGTTGACTGTAGAGCCAAGCAAATGAAAACTGTTAACTCTCTCAGTCTCTTCACCATCCATACTAATGTTACCAATTGGCCCAGTGGTGAGAATCTTTGTTTTCTTAATGTTGCGCTTCAGTCTGTATTGAAGGCTGCAGTCCTTGACCTTCTGCAGCAAACACTTCGTGTCCTCCTCAGTTTCAGCAAGCAGGGTTGTATCATCTCTTTATCGCAGGTTGTTGATGAATCTTCCACCAATCCTGATGCCACATACAGCCTTGTACAGCCAGTGTCCTGGATGTTCTGTTCTGCATACAGACTGAAAAGGTGTGGGGACAGAATACTTCTCTGGCAGACCCCCTTCCCAATTTTGAACCATGCAATGTCTCCCTTGCACTATTCTGAAGACTGCTTCATGGTCCAAGTATAGTTTTTGCATAAGCACAATAAAATGTTCTGGGATTCCCATTCCTCTCAGAGTCAGCCACAGCTTGTTGTAATCCACACAGTCAAAAGCCTTTGCATAGTCAATGAAGCAATCCCTGCCTTCTGCCAAGATCCTTGTAACATTAGCTATAATATCCCTAGTACCACAACCTCTTCTAAACCCAGTCTGCACATCTGGCATTTGTTACACAACAAAATTATAAGATATATTAATACCTTTATTGACAGTGTTAAAGAAGATTTTAATAAATTAAGATATTAATGGATGAATAGACTTAATATTGTTAAGATGTCAATACTTTTCAAAGGAATTTATTGATTCAGTGTAATGTCAGTCAAAATTCTATCAACCTTTTTTACAGAAATAGCAAAATTAGTCCTCTGTTTTATATGGAATGACAGGTGATCTCAGATAGCTAAAATAATGCTGAAAAAAACAACAAAGTAGGAAGGAGAGTCATCCTTCATAATTTGTAAATCTAACTATACAATTATAGTAAACAGTACGACCTAGTTTTGTTTTAACACTAGACATGTAATAGAATAAGATTATTGTTGATATGTGCCATCAAGTTGGAACCAACTCATAACTGACCCTCCCACGAGTTTTCAGAGGGCCCACTTCTTGGAAAAAGACATCATGTTGGGAAAGATAGAGAATTAGAGAGTAAGACCATTAATGAGAAGGATTGGTGCAGTGATTGTGTCACTGGGTTCAAAACTACCAGAGATCATGAGGTTTAGGCAGGATAGGGCAAGCCTCAGATCTTTTGTTCATAGGCTTGCTTTGAATTGTAGTAAATTTAATGGCACTCAGCAATTTAGTGCTTAAGTGATAAGGAGTTTTGTTGCCAAGTCAAAGGTGTAAAGTTTGAATCCACCAGCTGCTCTGCAGGAGAATAATGGGCAATATCTCCTGCAATTTACTGCCTTTGGAAACACACTGGAGGCTCAGTTGTGAGTCAGGCTGACTCCACAGTACATAACAACAGCAGTGTTACTATTATGTGCCATTGAGTCACCTGAGACACATAGTGACCTCTTATGTATAGCAGCTTTGAAACCTTCCCTTGTCCTGATACAGTTTCACTGACTCCAACACACCTACCCCCATTGCCCTAATTACTCTATCAGTCCATCTCATCTGAGGTCTTCCTCTCCTGTGCTGTCCCTCCATATTTCCAAGTATAATGCCCTCTCCACAGACTGGTCCCTTCTAGCCAAGTGCCCAAAGCATGTGAAACAGAGCTTAAAGCCTTAGCCTCCAAGGAGAAGCTTGGTTTCACCCTCTCTAAGACAGACTTTTTTCTTTTCTTGGCAGTCCATGGTATATTCAAGACTTTTCTCAAGCACCACAACACAAAGGTATCGATCCTTCTTCTGTCATCTGTAGTCATTGTGCACATCTCTGATGCATAGCAAGAAGTTGCAAAAACCATGGCCTGGATCAGGCACAGCTTAATCTGTAGACTGATATTGTGCTTCTCCGTACTCTGTAGAGGTCCCTGACAGCAGAATTCCCCAGTGCAACTTTTCTTTTGATTTCCTGACTTCTGGTGCCAAGAGTTTTGATTTTGGAGCCAAGCAAGCTATAATTGTTATCAATCTTTTCTCTATCTATCCTGGTGCTGCCAGTTGATCCAGTGATGAGAATCTTTGTCTTTTTGATGTTAAGCTTCAATCCATATTGAAGACTACAATCCTTGACCTTCTGCAGTAAGTACTTCAGGTCCTCTTTAATTTCTGCAAGCAAGGTTGTGTCATATGCTTAACACATAGCAAGGAAACACTGCATGGTTCAAAGTGAGCAAGGGTATATGCCAGAAATGTGATCTCTCTCCGTACCTTTTCAGTATATGTGCAGAACAGATCATCTGGGAGGCTGAGCTCTATGAGAAGGAATGTGGCATCAGGATTGGAGGAAGACTTGCCGACATCCTGCAGTATGCAGGTGACACAAGCCTGCTTGCTGGAACTGAGGAGGACCTGAAGCACTAGCTGCAGAAGGTCAAGGACTGTAGCCTTCAATGTGGATTGAAGCTCAACATCAAGAAAATGAAAATTCTCACTGCTGGGCCAATAAGTCACATAATGATAGATGGTGAAGAGATAGAGATTGTTGACAGGTTCAGCCAGGGAATCAATAGACATTGCGAAAGTATGCTGTTAGGGACCTCTCCAGCATACTGACAAACAGTGTTGTCATTTTGGAGACTTAGGTATGCCTGATCCAGGCCATGGTCTTCACAATTATGTGCTATGCATCAGAAAGCTGGACAATGACTAGATGATAAAAAGAAAATCGGTGCCTTTGAGCTGTGGTTGTGGAGACGAGTATTGAATATACCATGGACTGCTAGGAGAACAAACAGGTTCATCCTGGTGAGGGTGAAACCAGGTTGCTCCTTTGAGGCAGTGAATCTGAAGTTCTGTCGGAGAAACTTTGGACATGTTGCAAGAAGGGACCAGTCCTTGTAGAGGGACATCATGCTTGGGAGGGCGGAGGGACAGTGCAAGAGGGGAAGACCCTGGATGAGATGGATTTACTCAGTGACTGGGGTAATGGAGGTGTGGTGTATCAGCAATGATCAAACTGGCTCAGGATGGAGCAGGGTTCAGAGCTGTAGTACATAGGGTTGCTATGAGTCAAAAGCAGCTTGACAGCACATAACAGCAGCAACAAGGTTATTTGGGCAATGACTAAAAACACTTAGCTACAAATGAACTGTTATTGTTGTTATGTGCTACCAGTTGTGACTCATAGTGACCTTATGAACAACAGATCTAAACTCTATCCTGTGCCACCCTCATAATCTCGTACACATTTGAGCCCATTGGTGCAGTCACTGTGTCACTCCTTCTTTAAGTAGATTATGAAAATTTGTTTTAAAGAGCATAAGCACGGTATATTTTTAGGGAAGGTAGAATTTTTAAAATTTTCTCAACTGGTATAAAACATTTAAATTAATGGAAATTTCTTTAGGTTATTGCAATTAGTAAGCCTTATTTTTTGATGCCTTTGAATATTGTGTTGGCAAAGATTATTGAATATACTGTAGCTATTCAACAGTATATTGAATTTATATATATGGGCTCCCAAAAGAGCACATAAGTCTGTCTTTGAATAAGTGAACCTGAAGTCTCCAGGTAAACAGAGATAGTGAGACTCCAAGGGGCAAGTCCTTGCAGAAGAGCAGCATGTTTGGAAAACTACAGGATCAGTGAATGAGAGGAAGACCTTCAGTGAGGAGGATTGCCTCAGTGCATGCACCAGTGAGCATAAATGCAGCAGCCATGTAAGAATGGCGTAGGGTCTGGCAAGGTTTTGATCTGTTTTACATGGGTTTGTTGAATGAAGGTCAACGCAACAGTCTATTATCTACTGTTATGTAACAGTAGCTTTTGGAAATATTACTGCACATCGTTTCAATCAGGCGGAAATGAAAATATAAATTTTAATGTCACTGCAAATACATTCCATGAATTTTAGCATACAGTATGTTTGTTTGCTTGAGAAATGTACTTTTAAGTGTTTATCTACATATGGAATAAATTAAGAGAAGTGGTACATTAGTTTCTCAAGAATACAAGAAATCATAGTCTTATTTATTTTTCAGAGATGGCTCGACCCAAACAAACCAATAAGGAAGCAGCTAAAGAGTGAGCATACATATATTTTGATGTTTTACAAGAATATTTTATAAAGATAAAGGATCAATACAATCTGATTAATTAGAACTACTTTTATTAATTCTAGGAGGATCTCCTTATAATTTGAACTTTAGAGTCAAATTTTTTGTAAGTGACCCCAACAAATTACAAGAAGAATATACAAGGTAGGTTTATAGAGCTTCTTTTTCTTGAAAACACTTTTGAAACTCTAGTGTGAAAATAATGAAATGAATTAGGTAAAAATAATGACTGTTGTATAATTTTGAGCTTCCCAACCAGTATACCCTGTGGGTTATATTTTTTCCATGATAATGGCTTTGTAACTCAAAAAGTTTAAGGAATTGGAACCCTAGGATGGGCCTGTTCACAAACACATAGTCTCTTGAATCACACAAATAGTAAATGTTTTTACTTGTGGATAATGGTTAAGAAACTCTATATATAGATTTTGCTGCAGGCCTATATATGGGTGTACCACTCCTCTATCAGTTTGCAGCCCTGTGACAGCTTGCATGTTGTTGTGACGCTATAAACGGTGTTGTGTCTCCTCCATATCAAATACCAGCAGGGCCATGCACAGTGACTAGGTTTCAGCAGAGCTGCCAGATGAAGATAGACTAAGAAGCAGGACTGGCCATCCACATCTGAAATAACAGACCTTTGAAAACTTAATGGACAACAATAGAATATTGTTGAATACAGCACTCTCGGGCTGAAAGGCACTCAAAATACTATTAGGAAAGAGCTGCTTTTTCAAAGCAGAGTCTACCATAATGACTCAGACAGAACCCAATGGAAAACCCTCATTTGCTGATATGACAATACTAAAAATGAGGAGAAACAACTGCAAACATCCATTAAATACTTGAAATTGAATGCATGAAGTATGAACATAGGAAATTGGAAGTTGTTAGAAATGAAGTGGAATGCCTAAAGATCAACATTTTAGCATTAGTGAAGTGAGATGGACTTGTATTGGCCATTTTGCACAGGATCTTCTATGCTGGAAATTAAAGTGAAGGGGAATGGTTTAGCATTCATTATCAAAAAAGATCATTTAAAGATCCATTCTAAAGTTTGATGCTGTGAGCAATAGGATGCTATCTATATGTATACAAGGAAGTCTTGTTGCTACAACTGTGATTAAAATATATGTACCAACCACAAAAGCCAAAGATGAAGAGATTGAAGATTTCTACCAATTCTGCAGTCTGAAATAGACCAAACATGCAGTCAAGATGAATTAATAATAATTGGTGACTGAAATGCAAAAATTGGAAGCAAAAAGGACTGGTCATTGGCCTTAGTAACAAAAATGAAACTAGAGAACAAATAAGAATTTTGTACAATGAATTACTTATTCATTGACAATGCCTTTTAAAAAAATGACAAATCAGATAGACTTCACACAGGAATCAGATTAACAATATATGTGGGAAGAGATGTTGGAAAAGCTAAACTAATCCAGTCAAATCCAGGCTAGGGTATGACTCTGGAATGGGCCATCTGCTGTTCATATGCATGTTTCAAAGTGAAATTGAAGAAAATGGAAATACATCTGTGAAAACCAAAATATGACCCAACTACATTTGAAAACCATAGATTTAAAAAAAAAAAAGATTTAACACTCAACACTGCACTATCTATGACATTGTCCATAAAGAAAGCAAAAGGTAGTTAGAAAGACAGGGAAGGAAGAGAAGAGACTCTGAAACTTGCATTGGAACAGCAGCAAAACAAGGAAATGTGATGCAGTGGTAGGAGAGCTGAACAGAAAATGTCAAAGGACAATTTGAGAAGACAAAGCGAACTATTATGATGGAATATGCAAGGTTCTGGAGTTAGAGAACCAAAAGGGAAGAACATACTTGACATTTCCCCAGCTGGAAGAACTGAAGAGAAAATTTAAGCCTCAGTTTATAGCACTGAAGGATTGTATTGGCAAAGTCTTGAACAATTGAGGAAAGAGTCAAAAGATGGAGGAATACACACTTACTGGACCAAAAAGGATTGACTGACACAGAACCACTTTAGGATGTAGTGTACCATCAAGAACCAATAGATCTGAAAGATGTCCAAGCTACGCTGAAGGCATTGGCAAAAAATAAAGTCCCTCCCAGCAAGTGATAGAAATCCAAGTGAGGTTTTTCAGGAAACTGATGCAACTGTGATATGCAGTTCTCTGCCAACATACATGGAAGACAGCTAGCTATGTGGCCAAGTGACTAGAATAGGGGAAAAAAATCCACATTTGCTCTCATTCCTAAGCAGACTGTGGAAATTATAAAACTATCAATTTAAAAAAAAAGTGAGGGCAACAGAGGAATCCAAGCCTGACCTCTGTCTGGTAACTCCAGAAGGGGGAACTGTCCCCATCAAAAACATTCACAATTCAAAATGAATTCCCATAAGGACAGAGATGTCCCTCATTGTCCTTCATGTCTTTGGACTAAATCCAGAAGCATAGTACTAGTACTGTACTTCTGGATTCAAAATCTGTTGGATTAACTCACAGACCACACATACTCTCTATTTATAGGGTTTATAAGGAAGCATAATAGTCTGTATTTCAGGTTGGCAGCAGGATACAGTCCCTCAGTCTGGCTTGTCAGGCATGGCTACAGGCCCTTTGACTTTCAGCTCACAGCTTAGGTGAGTGTCCCAAAACTCCCTTAGTCTTCCTAGTTATGTTGTTATCTTTTAGGTCTTCAGCAAGCTTTGGCGAAGTCTCCTAGCTCAGGTTTCATGAGGCAGCAGCCTCAAGATGAGCTCTGTCTTGTCAAGTCTCTGGTTTTGTGCTGCAGCTGCTGCTGCTACTGTAGGCTTTGGTCTGAGTAGCATGGGAATCTCTGTCCCCAAAAGGCATGTGCTGCTTTCTTTTGGCTGGTGGTGAGATTCCCCAGTTTTGCCACTGAATCTGATCAATTTAATGGCTAGACAACCAGTCCCATTGTGAATAGACTAACTCTGTATGATCCAACCCATCCATGTGGCAAAGTCAAACTTGATGGCTAGGAAAGCATTTTGAGCAATAAACCCTTGACACTAAATAGAATTAATATCACATGCAAGTAAAATATTTTCAGATATGTTTCAGAAAAAGCTGGAACAGTGCATCCATAGGGAACTACCAGAAGTTTGAGCTGGATTCAAAAGTGTTCATGGATTAAGGAATACAATTGCTGATGTCAGATATATCTTGGCTGAAAGCAGAGAATATGAGAAAGATGTTTACTTGTGATTTATTGATTATGCAAAGACATTTGACTGTGTTGTTGATTGCCTTCGAGTCAAGCACAATTAATAGCGACCCTATGAACAAAAGGCCTGAAGCCCCTTGACAACTGTCCACTTTTGTCAAAGTTCGGCGAGTTTCTGGAGGCATGTTATTTAGAAAGTGGATGCTGCTCCTTCCAGTTTGAGTGGGTGGACCATAACAAGTTATGGCTGATATGGAGAAATAGGAATGCCAGAATATTTTATTGTGCTCATGCAAAACCTATACCTACCCTTTTCTTATCTTACAAGATGACAGGTAAAAAGCTGGACTCCAAGGAGACGAAGCCCGAGGCAAGCCTGAAGCCAAGAAAGCAGATCCAAGTGGCAAATTCAAAAGCCCAAGGCCAAGGACAAACTTCCCAAGAAGGGGAAGCCCCACTGCAGCTGCAATCCTGTTTTACTCCAGGGTATTGGTAGGCATTCCCAATCAGCAGTGTATTCCAGGAAGGCCATGTACAAAAGGAAGTATTCAGCTACTATGCCCAGGGTTGAAAAGAAGAAAGAGAAGCTTCTTGCTACTATCACAAAACCAGTTAGAAATGCCTAGGTATTACTGAGGATATGCCTTGGAAACTGTTGAGCCACGGCAAAGGACCCTTCGTTCAGCATGTGAGGAGGCTACACTCTAGCCTCATGCCCAGAATTTTTCTTATAACCTCACGGTGCACCACAGAGGCAAGAGGGCGGTTTTCTTGTAGTAGCTGCATGGTGGCTTGCTCCCTGTGATTGTGCGTCTGACCGTGAATCGAATTCCACTGTGGAGAACACACTAGAAATTTGTCATTGTCACCTCCACTAAAGTTAACATCAGTGGTATGAAAATCCCAAACCTCTCACTGACACTTCAAGAAGCAGTGGTTTCGGAAGCTCAGAGTGAGATCTTTGACACAGAGAAGGAGAAATAGGAGATTACAGAGCAGTGCAAGGTTGATCAGAAAGCTATGGAGTCCTGAATTTTGCCAAAAGTCAGAGCCAACAGAGTCTTTATTCTCCTTCACCAATGGAGTTTATCCTCACAAATTGGCGTTTTAGATTTTTTGCAAAAGATCTAATTAAATAACATTTAATTTAAAGTATGTTTTTTTTTTAAAAAAAAACATCCCAAACACCTATACCTAAATCAAGAATTATTCATTAGAACATAACAAGGGAGTACTGCTTGATTTACAATGAATGAGGAAAGGTATGTGTCAGGGTTGTATCCACTCTCTATTACTGTTGAATCTGTATACTGAGCAAATTATACTGAGAAGACTGAAGTATATGACAAAGAATATGGCATCTGCATTGGAGGAAGTTTGAACTACAAGTCTGCTTCATTGCTTAGCTACATTTTTTAAAAGTACATTTCTCAAAACATCTTGCAGACCTGCCCTCTACCTACATATGATTTCACAACTGAAGTTATATTCTTTTGTAATCATTGTACCACTCTCACTTGTTGAAAAAATATCACGCAACAGCTTCACATTTGGTTCCTAGACAGCTTCTGTTTCCTGCTCTTTGACATTGTGTTTAGATTCTTTTTCTATCTTTTCCTGTTGTAATTACCTAGAACTCTTCAATATCATTTTCATCAACTTCTACAGTTGCTATGCTTATTGTTGTTGTTTCAAAACTTTTAAAATTGTTCACTGATTTCAGACATAGCTTCCTCTAAGCATCGTTTCTCATTAACACTGTTAACCTTATGAGTTGTTGTTGTTGTTGTTAATGATTGCCTTCCAGTCAAACACGAACACAATTTATGGTGACCCTATGAACAAAAGGCCTGAAGCCCTCTACAACTATTGACATTTTTCAAAGTTCATAGAGTTTCTAGAGGCATGTTGTTTAGGAAGTGGATGCCCCTCCCTGCTTTGGGAGCACTTCTAAAGTTGGCATT